AGGCCTTGACTATCATGAGACCTTCTCCCCTACCGCTAAACTTGTCACTGTTCGATGCTTGCTTGCAATTGCTGCCGCTCAGCATTGGCCTCTCCACCAACTCAACATCCAAAATGCGTTCCTCCATGGACATCTTGATGAGGAAGTATATATGCTTCCTCCACCGGGCTTTCGTCTACAGGGGAGAATCTTGTGTGTTGACTCAACAAGTCACTATATGGACTTAAACAAGCATCACGAAACTGGTTTTCCAAATTTTCCAATGCTATAAAAATGGAGGGATTTAATCAGTCCAAGGCAGACTACTCTCTATTCAGCAGGTCACATGACTCATATTGCACTACTTTATTGATTTATGTTGACAACATTATAATTACATGCAATGATCCAACATCCATTAAATCTCTCGTAGGAGTCTTTCATGAAAAATTTCATATCAAAGACCTAGGTGATCTCAAATACTTTTTGGGCATTGAAGTGTCAAGATCCAAGTGTGGAATTGTCATCTCTCAACAAAAATACACCTTGGATATTCTAAAAGATGCTGGTCTTCTCGGAGCATGCCCATATGATTTTCCCATGGAGCAAAAGCTAAAGCTAATTGCAACTGATGGTGATCTGTTATATGACCTTGCTCACTATAGGAGACTTGTTGGGTAGCTCATATACCTTACTGTAACCAGGTCAGACATTGTTTACTCAATACATATACTTAGCCAATTCATACACTAGCCATGCAAGCCACATCTTAAGGTAGTACTTCGAGTTTTGCGATATCTAAAGGGTTCACTAGGCCAAGGACTTTTGTTTCCTTCAGAAAACAACCTAAAGCTGACAGCCTTTTGTGACTCTGACTGGGCAAGCTGCCCAACTACAAGAAGATCTACAATCGAGTATTGTACCTTTCTAGGCGATGCACTAATATCATGGAAAACAAAGAAGTAGAATGTGGTCTCATGCTCTTCAGCCAAAGCCGAATATTGAGCCATGGCGCATGCAACTTGTGAGATAATTTGGTTGAGATACTTGTTACAAGATTTTCAAGTCAATATCCAAGAGCCCCATGTTTTGCATTGTGACAATCAAGCTGCACTACACATAGCAGCCAATCTAGTTTTTCACAAGCGTACAAAACATATCTTGGTACTGGAGAAAATTCAATCCGGGATGATTACTGCTGCATACACGCCTTCTTCCCACAAGTTGGCAAACATCTTCACAAAACCACTTGGAAGAGATTCCTTCAATATGATTATTCGCAAGTTGAGAGTTCTGAACCTTCACTCTCCAACTTGAGGGGGAGTGTTACGATATCAAATCTCAATCAAAGGAGTAGATTGCCGCAGACCTTTAACTGATCTTGTTCCCTTCTCTAGTCCAGCAATCCTTGTAGTTTAGGCAGTAGTTATTACTTCTTTCCATATATGTTTATGTATAATTTGCTATTGATAAGAAGCATAGAATGGGACTATAATTTTCGATATATCATTCCACAACTAGGTTTACAGCTTTATACAATGATTCAGTCAATAGTATCCTAAACTATCACCTATAACCAAGGCTTGATCAGAGACTAAATAAGGAAGCAAATAACTACAATATCAATTTACAATATTGACTAATTAATGGAGATATTTTCCTTAATACTCCCCCTCAAGTTGGAGTGTATGTTAATGACACCCAACTTGCTAAATAAAACTTCAAACTGCATTGAACTCAACGGCTTGGTGAATATATCAGCTTGTTGATCACTTGTCCTTATGTAAGCCGTGCGTATCATTCCTTCTTGAATCTTCTCTCGTACTAGATGACAATTAATCTCTATGTGCTTCATTCGTTCATGGAAAGTAGGATCTGAAGCGATGTGTAATGCAGCTTGATTGTCACAAAACAGCTTGGCTGGTTGTGGATGTTTCACTCCTAAATCCTTCAGAGTATTCTTCAACCATATGATTTCAGAACATGTGGTGGCCATAGAACGGTATTCAGCCTCTGCATTAGAACGAGATATAATTGTTTGTTTCTTAGTTTTCCAAGAAATAGGTGCTTGACCAAGAAAAACACAGTACCCTGTTATCGACCTTCTAATATCTCTACATCTAGCCCAATCGGCATCACAAAATGCTTGTAATTGCAATGAACTTGTGGAAGGGAGAAAAATTCCTTGTCCAGGTGCTTGTTTAATGTACTTGAGGACCTTGTGTGCAGCCTTAAGATGTGGTTGCCGAGGTTTCTCCATGAATTGACTTAGCATGTGAACAACATAAGCCAAGTCATGCCTTGTTATTGTCAAGTATATTAACCTGCCCACAAGCCGTTTATATGATGAAGGATCATTCAACACCTTTCCTTCCATTTGTGTGAGAGACAAATTTTGATCCACAGGAAACCGTGAAGGCTTAACTCCTAAAAACCCAGCATCATCCAATATTTCTAGTGCATATTTTCGTTGACATAGGGTAATTCCACGCTTTGATCATGCAACTTCTATTCCCAAGAAATATTTGAGTTGCCCCAAGTCTTTCAATTTGAAATGTTGAGAGAGAACCTGCTTGGTTTCTTCAATTTCATGTAGATTATTCCCTGCTAGTATCACATCATCAACATAGACTAGTAAAGCAATGAAGTTACCATGACAACTTCGGACGAATAAAGAATAGTCGGACCATGATTGATGAAATCCAGTAGCCTTGAGAGCATTGGAAAACTTAATGAACCATTGTCTCGAAGCTTACTTTAAACCGTAAAGTGATTTATTTAACTTGCATACTCGAGTCTCCCCCTTTCGTCCAAAACCAGGGGGCAAGGTCATGTAGACATCCTCTTCGAGATCATCATTTAAAAAAGTGTTGTTCACATCCAGTTGATGGAGGTGCCAACCTTGCACAGCAGCCATGCTAAGGAGCACGCAAACTGTGGTTAACTTAGCCATTGGAGCAAAAGTTTCGCGGTAATCAACACCTTCAACTTGACTATAACCTTTGGCAACGAGGCGTGTCTTGTATCGTTCAAGAGTGCCATCAGGTTTGAGCTTAATTTTGTAAACCCATTTACATCCAATGGGACATTTATGCAACAACAAAGGCACGAGTGTCCATGTATGATTGGCTTGAAGGGCAGCAATTTCATGATGCATGGCAGCGCACCAGTTTGGATCCCGGACAGCCTGCGAAAAACTAGTAGGTTCTTTGAAGAGGGTGAGATTAGCCGTATAGGCTTTATGGTGGGGTGAGAGACGAGCATAAGATAAATAAGTGGAGAGAGGATGAGAAGTACTTAACGAAGACTGAACCACGTTCATAGACGATGTGGGAGCAGGCCTGGACGGGAGAGAGACCTCGACATGAAAGTCTTGCAAAAAAGTAGAGGGTTTGGTAGGTCGTGTTCTATGGCGGGGTGGGGTTGGCTGGACTGTTGGCGAAACTGTTGATAGATTTAGGGGTGTAGTGTCTGGAGAGGAAGAAGACACAGGGATGGATGAAAGGGCTGAAGGGGGGGGAAGGTGAAAGTGGAGAGTCGATGGGGGAAAGTGGAGAGGAGGGTGCGAGGGGGTCGTGTGACATAGGAGATGTGGGAGGAAAAGAGTCCAGATCAAAGTATGACAGGGAGGTGGTTGGATTGGAGGATTGGTTGTGAGCAGCGGAAGTGTCGTAGTGATAATTAAATTGGTCTAAAAAAAAAAATCACGTCCCATGAGACAAACACTTTGTTGAGTTGGAGGTCAAATAAGCTATAGCCCTTTGTACCATATGGGTAGCCAAGAAAAACACGAAGGGCACGGGGATCAAATTTGGAAGCTTTGTGTGTGTGAGTGGAAGCAAAACACAAACAACCAAAGACTCGTAAAGGTGAGTAATTGGGTGCTTTGTGGAACAATTTTTCATAAGGTATTTTCCCTTGAAGAAGAGGTGTGGGTGTGCGATTAATAAGATAGGTTGAAGCAAGGATGACGTCCTCCCAAAAACGTTTTGGCATGTTGGCTTGAAAGAGTAGGGCTCGGGCAACATTGAGTAAATGGCGATGCTTACGTTCAGCAACGCCATTTTGTTGTGGTGTGTGAACGCAGCTAGTTTGATGGATGATACCTTGTGTGGCATAAAAACTATTAAGTTTAAATTCGGGACCATTATCGCTTCGAATCATTTTGACTTTGGTGTCGAATTGAGTTTCGACCAAATGGATAAATTGGACAAGGAGTTGTTGTGTGTCAGATTTGTGTTTCATCAAATAAATCCATGTGCTCCTACTGTAATCATCAACAATAGTAAGAAAGTATTTTGCACCAGAAACAGAAGGAACATGATACCCACAACCCCCCTCCCCCCAAGATATCAACATGTATCAATTCAAAACATGATTTAGTGGATATAGAACTCAATGAAAATGGTGCTCTTGTTTGTTTGGCTAATGGGTAGATGACACACTTATTAGAATCACAAGATTTATGTTGAAAACAAGGAAATAACATGGAAACAATTTGTGATGGATGTCCTAGGCGTTGATGCCAAAGGTGATGGTTGGGTGTTTGAATGGCATTGCATGTTCCTTTCTTTGGTGGATCGAGATAGTATAGTCCTTCCCGTTCAATTCCCGTCCCAATCATCTTCCCCGAGTGTAGGTCTTGTATGACACAAACTTTTTTTAGGAAGATATTAATATAGAAGGAATCATATGCGAGCTTGCTAATGGATATCAAATTTAATTTGAAAAATAGTACACACATATCAAGCACAAGGTTGGGAGAGAAGACAAATTGTCCAATGTGGGTGACCGTGGCAAGGGAACTAGTGGGTAGTTCTATGGTATGGTTTGTAACAGACCTTGACGACGTGAGACAATGAGGGCTGCAAACAATGTGGTCCATTGCACCGCTATCCAAGATCCAAACATTTTTTATGCCATTAGACATGAAGGAAAAAGCTTTACCTGAAAGTTCTTCATTATTCAAAGAATTACCAACTTGATTTGCAAAGGAGGATATGTTTTTGCTCAACATTGCGAGCATCTACTTGCAATCTTCTTGGAAAAAAAGGAAAGTTTGGCATCCCATCCTTTTTGTTGTGCACGGCAACTTGGTTACCCTTGGAAGTGGATGAGCGGCTTTGTTCAGCTTCAGCAGCCGCTTTGGGTTTGCAGCAATATTCTAAGGAATGACCTTTCCACCCACAAAAGGTGCACTTGAGATGAGCACGGCAGTTTTTGGTGCTGTGATTTGTCTCGTTACATTTTCCACATCGAAGACCACCATCCTCTGGTTCAGTTTCTCGGCCACCATTCTTCACAGCAAAAGCTGCTGCTTTAGAAAGGGAAGTATGCTTTCCACTTGAGATTTCTGCCTGTCTCTCATGGCAAAGAACAAGAGAGTAGGCCTTATTCATTGTGGGTAAAGGCTCAAGAAGAAGGGTATTACTACGAACAATGGAATATGAGTCATTTAAACCCATGAGAAATTTCATTGTTTTCTGGGTTTCAACATAAGAAGTGATTTCCTTCTTTGTATCACAACTACATGTAGGGATAGAGCACTACACGTCACTTTCGTCCCATAGGCCTTTTAATTTGGTGAAATATGAACTCACCATCATGTTACCTTGCACACAGTCATGAATCTCATTTTCCATGTGAAACAATTGAACGATATTTACATGAGAAAACCTTTCTTGCAAATCAAGCCACATCTGCCTTGCATCCTTGCAGTTGATGACACTACCTGCAATTTCTTTTGACATGAATCCTAAGAGCCACGTCTTAACCAAGTTATTGCATCGATTCCATTGCTGCAATTCTTCATGTTCATGTTCATTTGGCTTCTTGACCGTCCCATCAACAAGCCCTAATTTGTTTTTGACCGTTAAGGCCATGGTCATGGATTGAACCCATGTACTATAATTGTCTTCCACCAATGGCTGTGGCACAAGTACTGCACCAGGCTGGTCCGAATAATGGAGATAAAGTGGATGATTAGGGCTCTCCCACTTTGAACGCGAAGTCATGCTTGAGGAGGTTGACTTCATGTCTGCACTATCAACCATGGCTATGTTTTGCTACGTTGTTTTGGTGTTTGTGTGTTTGCTTTTTATTTTCCCAGATATCTATTGCTCTGATACCGTGATGAGAAGCATAGAATGGGATTATAATTTTTGATATATCATTCCACAACTAGGTTTACAGCTTTATACAATGATTTAGTCAATAGTATCCTAAACTATCACCTATAACCAAGGCTTGATCAGAGACTAAATAAGGAAGCAAATAAGTACAACATCAATTTACAATATTGACTAATTAATGGAGATATTTTCCTTAACAGCTATATATCTTTGTAATGGTTATGACTGAATACACAAGCAATATACATCAAATTATCACTTTTCACAAAATTGTAGCCAGGGCCGACCCTAGGCGATAAATTAAATGATGCCCCTTTATCAATATACAATAAAACTTAATAAGAAAAGGAAAAAAAAAAAACTTTTCTCATTCATTCTTGTTGGTTTAAACATTTATCATCTATGATAATTGATTTATTTTTGTAAAGGTTATCAATGAACACAATACAACATATGTTACCAAATTATTGAAAAAAAGAACTTTTAACGACAATTCAAACAAAAAATTAAAAATAGGAAAAAGTGTTTTACCCAAGCTAATAAAAGGTATTTCAAATTAAGGGGAAAAAGGAGGAAAATATTCAATTGCACCAAACAGAAAATTCAAAAAAAAAAAAAAAAAAACACAAAGAATCCCCCTAGCTCCTAAAGCTCATTAGACTAGCTTCTCTGCACACGCTTATGCGTGTGCGAGAGGCTTTTTTTAATCACGCGTGCTACGCACGACTTACAAAGTTTCGTAAATATTTTTTTGCAATTGTATTTATATAGATGTCCATGTCAACCGTTTCATATTTTAATCGCACACATGTTACAAATCGCCGTTTTAAAAATTTTCCTTTACTGCCTGGATTTTTCTAGAAGTCTATCTTAACAGTATCTTTTTTTATTTTATAGCGTGTGAATTGTTAAGATGGACATGCATTATTTTGAATACATTAAGTACTTCCAAAATAAAATTAGATATCCTTGGAATGGGTACATTGCAAATATATAGAGGTACATTAAAAAGATCTTTGCCATGGTATATCCGTGGCTTTATTTGGAGCTTTTCTAGTAGTAAATATACCGTCAATGATACAAAATATATTGATGGATCATTGCATTTATTTATTTTCTATAGGACAATGCAGGCACCTCTCGATTATCGTTTCATCATAACATATTTCTGGAGACCAGGAATGTGAGTGTGCATAATGTAGTCTTCCCAATCAATGCATCTTGCATCAAAATTGAAAGCTTCCGCATCAACGAACCTCTCCCTTGTTATCCTTCGCAATTCCTCAGCATTGTTGTCATCAAAGCTGCATTTAAATCAAATTAACTTCAGTGATAAAAACACATGTTTAATTAATAACCAAACTGGAGCTAGCATATACGTACATGCCCTTGAATAGCATATAAGGTTCGTATAGCTCTACCAAGCGCATCACCAATTTGAGTTTCTGATTATAGTTAACATATAGATCTTGGAAATATCCTCCAAATGCTTTGTTCACGAACTTTAAACCCTTCAAACAAGAATTAAAGGTAATATTATGCATATAAATATAATATGTAATTACTGTATAACATTACTATTAACGGTGAAATTACAAACCTCCAAAGGTAGCATGAAGCGAATTTGCATATACATGCGAAAAGTAGCCATAGTCTTGAAGAATCTAAGCTTGCCAACCTTGGCACGCTTTCCATCCTTCCCAATCCAGGGTTTTTCGGTGCAGTATCGGAAGACAAAACTGTGAATATTAAGGAAATTTATAGGATTTCTCAAAGAGCTTCCCACATGGTAAATGATGTTAGAAGATTTATTTGCATTAGCCACCATTGCTACAATCATTGAATGTACGACCATGTCAACAGGAATCTGCATAATTTCAAAAAATTGAATTGCTCTGTATTAGTTCTAGATAGACATTTTTGGCACACCCAACAAAGGATAGTTAAAATCATTGTGTTCAAAATTATAGTAAATACCATATGGCGGGTGTCGCGCTGTGATGTTTAGGGTGCCAAGAAGTTTAACTAAACTTACCATATCAAATACTGACATAGGGTCCACGAGTAGGCATGTCACTTTTCCTTTACAATAACCAGCAATTACGCTGTCAATGGTTCTGTAACAACCAAGATTCAACGCATATGGCATTAAATTTTACACGACCAGAATGTTGGAGTTGAGTTATATTTCCCAAAGAAATGTTTGCGAGCTTCATACCTGAAACCTTGAACCCAACCTGGAAATGGCTCTTTGTAACTGCTGGTGATCACGCTAGGACGTATAATGACAATGGGAAAATGATCTTTTGATTGGCCTAGAAATATTTCTCCCACCGCCTTTGTAAATACGTAGGTGTTTGGCCATCCATACAATTTAGCCCTATCATTTAAAGGATAAGTGAGACAAAAATGACATTTTTGCTGCTATAAAATTTCCAGATTTCTATGAACACAATTATCTTTCTTTCTTTTGATTTTATTCAAAATTTGTGGCTTAGAATTGTCTTTGTGCAGAGATCAATGCTCAGAAAAACCTTTCAATGCCAATATCCTTCATTGTGGTGGTAATAACTTGTTCTGTCGCGTCCTGTGCTTTTAGTTCATTCAGTTTCTCTTCCACTAAATTCATCTCTTGCACTTTGAAATCAAATCTAGTGATCTCCTTTTCCAGCTCATCCATGCAAGATGAGTCCTCTAGTATAAGTCCTGCCCTTTCTCCACATACATAAGCTGAAAAACATTCAACATATCAGTGAAGCAAATCAAAAGGAAATGGAGATCGGGAAAAAAAAAATTTGAAGTGATAAATTATTATGAAACTCGACATTTAAAGTTTAGAATATGAAAAGGCCATGGGAAAACAACATATGCGTGTGGTCCATTCCTGACATCGAATGCATGTAAAGATAATGTGGTAAGCCTAGCATTTTTCAATTTTACATCCTCTGAAAAGATTCTTAATTCGAACCAAGAGAAGAAAAACAAACACTAACCAGTTGACACGTG